TCAATTTTTGGAGCGTCCGATTTCCAACATGAGGTCTTGCATTGTCGTGCAGAAGGATCGGACCTTTTCTGTTGACAAGAGAGGGCGAATTTGCCTGAGTTTTTGATGCATTTCGTCGATTTCCCTACAATAGGTCTCCGCTCTGTGATGGTTCCACCAGGTTGCAAGAATTTAGAATGAACGATACCCTCGGTAGACCACCACACAGTGACCATCACCTTTTTTTGAGTCAGCACCGGCTTCGGAAACTTTTTAGGCTGCTCATCTTTATCCAGCCATTGTGCTGATCGTCTCCTGTTGTCGTATAGGATCCACTTCTCGTCACAGGTGACAATCCGACTAGAAATGGTTCATTTTGGTTCCGTAGAAGGTGAGATGAGCAGATCTCGTAACGACGATTTGCCTGGGCGACGGTCAATTCGTGTAGCACCCACTTATCCAATTTTTTCACCTTTTCAATTCGATCCAACTGTAGCGTGGCCAACACCAAGGTCCTCTGCTATCTCCCTCGTTGATAGGTGGGGATCATTCTCTACTATAGCTTTCAAACGATCCTCGTCAAAGTGAGTGGGACGTCCGCGCCCTTCCTTATCTTCGAGATGTGTATCGCCACTTCTAAACTTTTGGAACCAACGACGCACGGTGGATTCGTTGACACTTTCTCCCCATACTAAGTTGATCTTCCTAGCCGTTTTGGCTGCGTTAGTGCCGAGAGAAAATTCGTAGAAGTAAATCTGTCGAAAATCTTGCTTCGACTTCTTCTTTTGCAAGCTTGGAATCCAGGAAAACTGTAAACTTTTCGTGATAAGAAGCTTACTGCAAGAAAGTACTTGCCTTCAGCTACAAGCTGGTGCAACTTGCTATGTGTGAGATAGGTATATACCTCTCACGCCGTTTAAGCAAAGTTTGAAACGGTAAAACGTGCATTAATTATGAGAAAACCTAATACAACTTCTAGGGAATGAGAAAATGCATGTACTTTAGATGCGTGTACTTCTCCATCTTCTTATAATTTATGCACTATGAAATTGTCCAAAAAACATTCCAAATACTTGTCCAAAACATTCCAACCAATTAGATGTACTTCTTCTTATCTTCTACAAACATTCTTTCTTATCTTCTACAGGCATTCTTTTTGTGCTTGTTTTCCTTTCAAAACTTCACTCTTTTTCTGGGATAGTCAGCTAGCCCCCGCCGTAAACGCGCAGCCTGCGCATTGAAAAATATCATTTTTTGAAAGTCAGCGAATTACATCTTGCTCAAATATTCATGTTAACTTCTGCTGAAAAATTCAAGGAACACCGTTATTACGCAGACTAGTGCCTCCGTTCTGGTTAGCTGGCTTTCTGTTCATGTCGTCTGTGTTCGGTTATATTTATCTGCTAACGGAACATCTCAAGTGTAAGTAGTGTAATTAATATACAGGGTGTTTCAAGATAATATGAACACTGCTTGATCTTAAATGACTCCCTTACCTTCA